ATATCTAGAATAGTAAATAAATCTTAAATATTAACTTATATGAAAGTGGATTAAAGTTGTTCGAGTACGAGCAACCATGACCGGTTTCGACTTCGCTGACGACGAAATGTCATCAGATAGTTGAAAATTTCATCAACAAAAATGAGAAAACTGCTCTGCTATTACCGAAAAGTAATAGTGTCAGTATACTCAAACAAAATGTTCGATCAGAAGTAATCGCCGTTCCACGACAACAGTTGTTTCTGTCCGGGCGGGACTTCATCAGGTGGTAGCTTAATATTATATCTATATAGGAATACAATTCTGTTTAATAATAACATAGGAATTATATTATGATAGATACAATAATTAATATATAGACATTTGTACAATGAAAATTTTAAGTAAAATTAACTCAATAATTTTTAAAATAAAGACTTGACATTCAGAGCATCACACGATCCGGATTTCGACCTTGCTTAAGGGTCTATCATCAGGTATGTTTACAATCTTTTATTACATAGGAATTCCAAACTCTCCAGTATTTTGAAGTAGTTTGAAATTAATTCGTAATAACTGAATCTACTATAATACTATTTAATTACAAAAGAGTTTTAAGTTCGAAGCATCACACGTCCATTATTTTGTTTTCCTAAGATATCGATTCGTTTGTTTCGGAAGACATAGCATAGATGAAAAATATATATGATGTTCTATGTAATAGAGTTTTTCGAAGTATTTGGGACCGTTTTGAATCAGCAGGTTCCCTAAGGTTAGTGGTGATTGGAGTTTTGAATGGGATCTTGGAAATATTATAGTATATTTCTTAATATTCAGTTTTTTCGTAATAGGATTTTATGATTTCCCTAATATTAGGCTTTATGCCTGTAAAATCGGATGTTTTTCTCATGTATCGAACTCCTTTCACTGCACCCACCACAACTGACATGATGTGGGAGTGGAAGATTGTGTAGTATGGAGCCTTTAGATTGCTCTGTTTTCCATACGAAAAGTGAAAAATTGAGAATGGAACTAACGCCACAATTGAGAACTGGATGTGTTTTTTTCTCTCGACCTATGCATGGGTAAAATTTGCCCTTGTATAAAAGTAATCTTATACAATGAGTGTAACTAATCGTAGGAATGTTGTCAAGCTGGCTTGATCGACTTGACAGAGTATGCAGTGGTACAAAATGTTGGAATGGTTCGTCTCTCGCGTGTGACATAAAAATTTAAAAACTATTCACTGACAGTGGTGATACAAATTGTCAGAACGAGTGTTGACTTGACTTTAAGTCTCATCGTCTGGATAAGCTGCCATGACACGTGTTTCGTCCAGGCAAAGGGACTCAACAAATGGCAAATTAGCACTAAAGAATTTCAAAGAAGAAATCCTAAGTACTAAATTTATTCTGTTACTATGAAACCTAGAATGATTTCAAAGCAATGATAAAATTAGATATGTTAGAGTTTATAGTCATGTAGCTAGCAAGACCGGTTTCGACAAGTGCTGAAAATGAACTTATCAATTGCATATGTTTGACTAAAAGATGTTACAAGAAAAGTAATAACTCTCCTACAATGAAAGCTATTGTCAGAAGTTTTATGAGGAAAACTTCCAAGCTGATAGACGAACACATAATGATACATTATCGGGTAACTTGAATAAGAACAAGTACCCAACAAATTTTTTAATAAAATAGGAGATAAGATTTTAAATTCAGAGCACCACATGACTAGTTTTGTTCTTGCTTTCGAGGACTCTACGGGCATGTTTAGAATTCTATTATTGCATAAGTCTATACTACCCAAGTAAATGAAGTGGTGAAGAGAATTCGTAATATGTATCAAAATCATGAATAGGATTTGTTTGAGGTTTGAACGATTACAGTACTTGTTTCTTCGCTTCATGTGTTTCATGGGTAGTGTCACTATCTATAATAGTTTAAGTTTGGAATTGTCTAAAGACTAATTTAACATTAGGTAAACGCATACTGTTGGAAATTAATAATGGCACGTGATCATTGAGAGTGTGTTGTTAGTTTGAATTTTCTATAAGGCCCATGTTTTATCCTTAAAATGGGCGCTATTTGCTATGGCATTGCTCGTTTGATGATGAGGAAATCGATTTGATGAAAAAACGGTATCCATCTTGGTTGCGGTGGTGAGGCCCAATTTGGTAGTGCTGCTGGTATAAGAGAAAGTAGGAGCCGCTAGGGGTTTGCGTTTTCGCGCGGATATTGTCGTTTTTATTTGTAGTGTAGAGTTATCTATGTTGTTAAAATCAGTGTATGGACAGTTTCATAATCGGATGAGTTTACGGTTTTTACTTTGAAGTAAGGCAGAGTGCAATGTTGGGCGTTTTAGAATGAACTAAGACGTTGGTATTTTTAATGAATCATGAAAGTTGAAGCCATTTAAACCCATATGCTAGTTTTAAAAACTAACTAGCGGCGCCCAATTGGCTATCGGGTAACCATCGACGTTTGTTTTTTGTTCGGGTTTATCTGAGTTGAGAATACGTTTGAAGATGAAAGGTGAGAATTGTAGGGTAGAGATGTACTGCTTCACGCGTGGGAGTCATTTTGAAATTCTAATTTCCGATATATATCTTTTTATGGACGTGTGTTTTGCTGTTGGAATGGTTGTTGCTTCATGTCGCTGAATTTCGATTAATCATTAAACAGCACAGTTTCTATGTAACTACAGCAATAGGAATAGTTTCACTTTGTTTATGTGTTACTGTTAAGTTTGTAGATGTGAGTGTATTTCGCTACAACTTTTTGATTTCGTCCCTCACTATTTCTCCAGAACGCGTTGGAAATATTCGTAAATTTTTTATTTATTTTCTGGTTTTCATCATTTAGTTTCTAGACGGAGAAAGATGTCACTGTCATATTGTTTCAAAGTATAGAGATGACTAAGAGTAAATATTGATCTCACTTTTCTTTCACTTATCATAGGAAGAAAGGATACCAAAGATAGAATTTAGTATGAATAGTTGCATATGTCATTGACGCATGCTCTATCACGAGTAAGCTTCATATCAGAAAAAAATTTAGTTGAGGGAGACGTCTGCAATTTTGGTAGGCTATACGACTGAACTGAAATTTCAGTTGTGCTTTCGTGAATGTAATCCTTGCGGGTATGTCATCCAGACTAAATGTTTGAGTGACACCATTGATTGTCGTTGCATAAGTCTTTCTCGTTATTATTGTTGAATTCGAATGGTCGACATCATTTTCAACCATCACAAATATTCTCATGAAATATTATGCTATTCTTTCATTATGTTTGGTTGTTTTAGATATAGACATCGAAATAATCACACGAAATGGGGGCAGTTGGAGATAAATTGCAAAGTGAAGCAAGTGTCACAAGAAAAATGAACGAAGTCGAGTATGAGAGACTTAAGAAAATACAAGAATTGGAGCAACAAAGACGGCAATTTGAATTGAATCAGTCTGTTCTACGAAGCCAACATGTATCTGAAGCGGAACGTGCAAAGGTGCAACATGAAACTGAAATGAAACTTCAAAAGCTAGAAATGGAAAAGCGCAAAATGGAAGCGGAATTTCAATTGCAAAAAGGAAAATTATTACTTCAGTTTCAAACCGATGTCAGAAAAATCGAAGCCGATCTAATTAAAACAAGGATGACGACACAATCGTCTCTTTTCGAGAAATTTCTTGCATTTATGCATGAAACATTGAATACGAATAAAGCTCTAATTGAACAAAAATCAAGACTGTATGAATTAGCTTTACAAAACGAGAAAACAATGCAATTTTTTTTGGATCGAGCGGATCAAATTGTAATTCTTGATGCGAATCAACTAATTGAAATTGGTATGAAAAAGGTCACAGAATTAAATGTGGAAAGTGTAAGTGAAATGAAAAATTTACAAACAAGATTACAAGAAGTTCTTGGTGATACAAAGGATGATACAACTAATGATCCAAGTTGTAGACAGTTGGAATCTTCTAAACCTTAGTAGAAATGACTAATAAAATCAAATCAAAAGCTAGCAATACACGTGTTTCGACTACCACTAAAGTAGCCATTTAGCAATTGCTTAAGATTAAGATGGATAATATAAATTTTTCTCCTATAGAAATGACTTATAGAAAGTCAATCAAAAGCTAGCAAGACCGGTTTCGATTACCGCTAAAGTAACCACTTATCAATTGCTAAATATAAGTTTTGAAGTTCAAAGCATTACATGACGCGTTTCGTCCTTGCTTAAGGGACTCTACGGGCATGTTTACAATCTATTATTACATAAGAATTGTAAAGTCTGTAGGGTTTTGAAGTAGTTTGGAACGATTTCGTAATAATAAACTCCAGTATATTACCAATTAATTATAAAAGATTTTTAGATTATACAGCACCACACAACTACTTTTATTTTCCTGAGCTATTGCTTCATTAGTTTGCGAAAACCTTCTATAGACTAAATGTATATATAACGTTCTATATATTAGAATTTTTCCTAAATATTATGCAACTGATTGAATGAACGAGGTCCTTTAGGTTAGTGGTGATTGAAGTTTCGAATGGGGGCTTGGAATTGTTGACCTATGTTTCTTAATATTCAGCGTTTGGTTGGTCGGATTGTAAGTTTTAAGTAATGTTTGATTTGATGTATGCGAAATTGGATGTTGTTGTCGCCATGGGAAGTCGTTTCGCCGCACCAACAGCAGCTGCGATGATATGAGAGTGGGAGATTGTATCGTTCGAGGCCTTTTAGATTGATTCGATTTCAAGATCAAAAGTGAAAAGTTGAACCCAGAAGTGAGGGCATCATTGCGAGCTTCATACTTTTTTTAACATTGATCTCTAAAGAGTTATAGTTTGACCTTGTATAAAAGTGATCTTATAAAATGAGTGAAGCTTATTGTAGGAATGTTGTCAAGCTCGCTTGATCAACTTGACAGAGTATGTAGTGGTACAAAATGTTGGAATGGTTCGTCTCTCGCGTGCGACATAAAAATTTAAAAATTATTCACCGACAGGGGTGATATAAATGGCCAGAACGATTGTTGACTTGACTTTAAGTCTCATCGTCTGGTTTAGGCTACAAACGATTGTAGTGGAATTCCATGTGATACGAATATCACATCTGTATGTGTACTGATTTGGGGTATATATATTGAAATTAGTTTCCGAGAAGTAAAGCGGTGAATGGATAGTGGTCACCGTATACTAGCGACATCTAGGATGTTCCACAAGCCTTATTCCTATTCAGAAGTGGGCTTCACTATATATAGAAGAGACGGTATTAAATTCAAAGCATTCCACGACTACTTTCGCACTTGACTGTGCAGTGTTCACCGTATGTTATCAGCAGCTGGAATTACATGAGCAGACTAATTTGCAAAGGTTCATTCAATGTTATATATTCAATAGAATTTCTTTTCCAATTATATCTCGGAACATAGGCAGCCTGATGAAGTGATTAAAGTGATAGTTCAATAAAGCATTTATTGAATTCTTGTGTAGCTCGGATAGGCGTATTTTGTTGTGTCGCATCAAACTTCTTTCGCCACATATACATCTGGTGCCATTGTGTGCTAGTAGTGTATATATGGTCCTATGGTTTTCCTGTCTACTGGAATTCCTCTCGTCATATATTCAACTCCTCCAAATATGTGTTAGCAGAAGCGGTTGACGAGTGTTTTTATTCAAAGTGATTTTTCTATGAAACTAGAAATTAGATAGTTGAGATTTGTTGGTTTAAGTATGAACATCCTAATCCTAGTGAAGATGAAAACTTCGAGTCGGATTTAAGTTTCAAATTGGATACATATCCGGATAATTCTATCAAACCGGTCTTGGAACCGTCGCCTAAGTTAAGGAGATGCTGTATCGAGTCATACAATGCAGCGAGTTGCCCTCTCTTTTTGAAACCGTCGTATACAACATAAGTACTGAGAAAATAAATATTTGTTTCGATTGTCGAATCAAGAAACATGGTTGAAATTGAAAAAATTTTCCGTGTCTAGTGTGTATATTATTATATGCGCATGAGGCAACGTCTGCGGTTTTTCGCTCATCTGGCAGGTTGTACAACTGCTTCGCTGGGTACCCGCTGCCTTGAATGCGGCCGATGACAAGGCTACTTTCACTAATTTCAACGCAACAAAGTCTCAGCAAAGTAAAAAAGTGCCAAAAACAATATATGTAAAAAACACATGTAAGTGACTTTCTCCCTCAGAAAACTATTTCGATATAACAGCGAAACCCAACAACAAGCGCTCAAATTTCATTGTCCCCTCAAACAATAAAACACAGACGACGTCCAAACAAAAATATTCATCAACTG